TCTGTGGATTCTAACGGACCATTTTGTCAATTATGCTGGCCATGCACATACCAATCCAATTGTTTTAGGGACAATAACCATTTGATCAAATCCAGACCTTAAATCCAGACCTTGCCCACCCTGACTATGGGTATGACATGTAACATGCTACAAAAGGTGAGCTCATTGTAGCAATCGTGCGTACAGATATGGATGCGGACAACCATGTTGCTAAAGATCTCCATCTCACTCCAAATCAGCCCCCCTCCGTTTTTGTTGTATGGCATGTGGTCTGTGTGTGTGAGGAGTTCCGGAGTGCATCCAGCACAGCTGGATAAACTTCATGGTTGTAAACCCAATTAGCTGATGCCATGGTGTCTGACAGACTCTTGCTCTGAGCTGATCGTAAAGCTATAAAACCTGTCAGTCACTGGACTTGAAAGCATTCCGGAATAGCAGTAACACCTACATCCCATTTGAAACCACTTTTTCATACAATTTCATAACTTTCAGCAGGAAATACGTACAATGAAACAAAGCATATACTCAGATAGGTCAGTTTATTGCGAGTCACCTGATACCTTACATCCCTAGATTACGTCTACCCGAGAACAGAAAGCGATATCTCCTTAACCATCCCAAGCAGATATGTCATATCTGGTGTCTGGACATTCAGAATATCATTCTGCATATTGTCCTACCAGTGGATAGGATGCTACATGTACCTATGGAAGGTTATTGACCATGGTATAACTTGCGAGGGATTTTGGTCCTAGCCTGGGTCTCCGCCTAAACCCCCCTCCCCAAATGAGGCGATTGGCGATATATAAATACAGAGAGCAATAACATAACAGAGAGATAACAGAAAGAAGTTTAGAGATAGAGATAGGTAGAATACTTGCAAGGGTCCTTGGCTTAAGCAGATTCAAGTGTCCTGAACAAAAGGGTACCGTTCTCCCAAAGTTGGTTCCTGATGTTAAAATGGAGATCTCTTCATCTTACTTCTCCAGGCCTGACAGCCTTTTTTCTAGTCCTCCAGCAGGGGGACTAGAAAAAAGGCTGTCAGCCCTGGAGAAGTAAGATGAAGAGATCTCCATTTTAAAATCAGGAACCCACTTGAATCTGCTTAAACCAAGGACCCTTGCAAGTATTCTACCTCTCTAAACTTCTTTCTGTTATCTCTCTGTTGTGTTATTGCTCTCTGTATTTATATATACATATATATATATATATATATATATATACTATATATATATACTGGCTACATCTTTTTCTTTAAATATTTTTATTGCACCTGCAGTGACAGGGTGTATACAGACGCTTATTCAAACATCATAGTGTTACTGCTAAGATTGGTGAGTTTCCTCCATCTCTGTACAAAAAGGTGGTGGTGGCAGTGTGAAGGGTTAATTGCGTAATTAACCTGACCCAGTAACAATCGCTCTCAGGCTGCGGCACATAGATTGTGGTCCAGTGAGCTGGAAAATCTTTGTGCGGGGTGCAGCTGAGCGTGGCATTGTTACGCATGTGACAGCGCGGTTTTAGATTGGCTAGTCCTTCAGTCACATGTTGGTGAGAAGGGTTGGGGGTCTGACACCGCGCCCGTCACACTCATCCTTTAAAGCATATCTAAGCTCAAAAGCAAAAATGTAGTACATTGCAGCTTACCAATTCTTATATGTGGTGGCATATTTCCCTTTGTTTTCACTTGTGAATCTAAACTTTATTGTTTAGTCAAGTCCATCAAAATTTGCTAGTTCATCTAACACTACGCACTCCTCTCTCACCCCCTCTCTCATCTCTGTTACTCCTCCGTAGAATGGAGCCACCTTTTAAGACAGAAAGTATGTTATTGGGCAGAACACCAGGTGAAAATAAAGGAATATTAGCCTAAAAAAGAAAACGAAGAAATCGAATGCAATGCCCACCTTTAAGGATTTAAAATTTGCAATATAATACAATTTTGTTTTTGAGGTTAGATAAGTGTTGCACCCTCCAAGATAGTTGATAGGTTAGGTAAATTTAGGTCTTGGGTCATTGTAATCAGTGTAGCTACATGTGATTGTTTTGGTCTGTTCTGTGTTTCTCTGGCTGCAGGGTTGACTGCTTCTCCTTATCTGTCTGGAAATGTTCTGGAAGATAGAGGGGAGGGAGAGTCAAAACAGCAGCTGCATATTTATGCAGCCCTGGCCAATCCCTGGTAAGAGGTGCCCAGATGGTGGTTGGGAGAGTGTATAAATGGGCTGAGACCTGGAACAGAGAGGTATTGTTCTGGAGGAGGGGATCACAGCCTGGGGCAGCTGTTTGCCCCCTGGGCAAGTCTGCAATGTGTCTGCTGTTCATCAAGGTGGGGAGTCTATTCCAATTAATGTTTCTGGAGCTGACCGAGGGACTTTTCGTCAGTTCATTAACTGCTTGTGCAAGGACTCTGCTCAGATCCTGAAGAGAAAGTTTAACATCCTCAAGTTGCTACTACAAAACTTAGTCCACTATTTACTGCAAGCAGGAATTTGTGCTCACATTATTGCTGCTGCCAAACCTCTGGCAATAGAGTCAGTCCTACCTGAAGGGAACTCATTACTAAAGTGTTACTGAAAAGCTTGGTCTCACTCTCACCTTACTAAGAGCAAGTTTACTGTCCTGAAGTTCGCTACTAAAAGTTACTGGAGTATCCCACAGTTCAAGTTCTGCAATAAAGTATCAGAAAAGCATACCCCTAGACTGTTCATTGAGTGAAAGGAGTGTCTGTGACTGTTTTCCTGGCTGTGGGGCAACAATGAAAAAGAGCCTAGAGACCTTTAAACTCCTACCGAAGTAAGCGCTGCATACGCTTTAAACTATTTACTTTGTTTTTTACTACATAATGTTTGCTGGACAAGTCCCTACTGCATCTAGGCTACACCCGATAGCCTTTTCAATAAGTGTACTCCCCTTAGAAGAGCTATCTATGTGTACATTCTATAATCTATAAAGTTATAATGTAGATAAACAACATATTGTTTTTTTTTAAGGCACGCAAACAGTTAAATGTAAGCACATAGTATGTGTGCTATGGATAAAACTATTTCATTCTCAGAATAAACAATACATTAACAGGATAGAACATTTATTTTCTATTCTGCCAACACCTTATAAATAGACACAGATATAACACCTCACATTCTAAATTCTAAATAATATTTTCTATGTTTTCATACAAAACAAAGTAGTAGTCAGAAATAATATGTCTTTTTAAATACTCACCAGGATCCAGTCTACAGAAATGTTGACTTGTCTTTCTCTTTCTATCCTCTAGTTGGCAGACATATAATTCTTCTGTTTAAAACAAAGATTATACAGTGTCCATAGGAAACCTTCTTGCGCCTGGATCCTTAATAATACCAAGATTATTACCAATAATATGAAGATTACTTTGTTTTTACAGTTATAATTAATTCATTCATTTTTTTAGATAATTCTATTTTATAGGACTTCTTTTGACATGTGTTAGAGTTGAAGCATTGTTAAAAATCCAGACTGCATGAAACTTCACAGCTAGTAGTTACAAATGGGATAGTACAGGGATTTACCAGAGAAGCTGCCGTCAAGTTGATTATTCATGGTCTGATAATTTATTTTACCCTGCTTTCATAGGAGTACATGTAAAGGAAAGAGATGAGGCTGCAGTTTGTTATTAACATTGATATAGTTCCAGGGTCTCATTGACAAGAGAAAAGATTTTATATTTGTATACTTTTGGGTTTTTAACCATAGGAATGATTGCAGGTGAACAAATGAAAAATACTGTTCTTGTACTTATAAAAAGCTGTGTGGTTGCAGATTGAGTATTATCAGTGGTAGCACTAGAAATTCATCTAAAAATACTGATTAGACATGATACAGACCCCCCCACTCCCCCTAAAAAAAAAGAAAAGAAACAGGAGTGTGCCAGTTCAAGACCAGCGTTAGATGTATTTTTTCTTTGTTAGAGCATGCATGCCAAGTAAAGTATGTAGGTAGTTTGCCTACTGTAAGATAGTTAGTTATAGCTGCCCTAGCCAGGGGGAAAGTTTAATGCTTTTACTGCCTTCCCCGGGCTAAGTTTGTGGACTTTTCTGGGTCTGACCCACCAGTCTTGTGTTAATATAGAAGGGACAGGGGTTCAGATCCCGGGAGAGAGAGAAAGGGAAAGGGGAGAGAACTGCAACTCTACCATGTAGAAGGGCTGCTGGGACTTGCAATCCACTCGTCGAGACACCATTAGTATGGACTACTGCCACCTTGGACTTGCCAGTATTGGACTCTACCTCTTCAGGTATGCTGGGGCAGCAACAGATAGTTAGAGGAGACTAAGGACTCATTTACACCATACGTGCAGAAAAATTGATGGGAAAAAACGAGCAGATTTCACTTGCACAGACACAAGTTTACATCAGTTTAATCTGCATTTCAGTGAGTTTATACACACTGCAGATTCCTGCGCAGAAAAAAATCTGTACGTGATACTAGTGTTGTGGTGTGAACAGGGCACATAGAGAGCAATTGTTTTGCTTATACCCTTGCAGAATGCGTGCAGAAAAACTATGTCTCTGCATACTGATGTGAATGAGACTTTGAAGACATTTGAAGCTTGGGTCAGTTAACCACTTGCCTACCGGGCACTTATACCCCCTTCTTTACCAGGCCAATTTTCAGCTTTCAGCACTGTCGCACTTTGATTAACAATTGTGCGGACATGCAAGATTGTACCCATATGAAATTTTTATAATTTTTTTCTCACAAATAGAGCTTTCTTTTGGTGGTATTTAATCGCCGCTGGGCACTTTACTTTTTGCGCTATAACACAAAAAAAATGCAAAGAATTTAAAAAAAATTTTTTCTTTGTTTCTATTATAACATTTTTCAAACAGGTAATTTTTCTACTTCACTGATGTGTGTTGATGAGGCAGCACTGATGGGCACTGATAGGCGGCACTGATGGGCACTGATAGGCAGCACTGATGGACACTGATAGGCAGCACTGAAGGGCACTGATAGGCAGCACTAATGAGGTGGCACGGATAGGCAGCACTGATAGGCAACACTAATGAGGTGGCACGGATAGGCGGCACTGATAGGCAGCACTGATAGGCGGCACTGATGATGGGTACTGATAGACAGCACTGATAGGTGGCACTGACTGGCATCACTTCTGGGCACTGACTGGCGGCACTGCTAGGCATTGACTGGCGCAACTGCTGGCCACTGACTGGCACAACCGCTGGGCACTGACTGGTGGCACTGACTGGCAGCACTGCATTGATGTGCACTGGTGGGTGGCACTGGTGGGCACAGGTGGGTGGCACTGGTGGGCACAAGTAGGTGGCACTTCTGGGCACAGGTAGGTGGCACTGCTGGGCACAGGTGGGTGCACTGCTGGGCACAGGTGGGTGGAACTGGTGGGTGGCACTGCTGGGCACCGATCATCAGTGCCCTGATCATCAGTGCCCTGATGATTGGTGCCGATCCCTGCTCTGACAACTGCCGGTCCTCGCCGGTTCAGTTGAGAACCGGCAATTGCATTTCCTGGTGATCAGCGTGCCATTGGACACGGCTGATCATGTGGTAAAAGGCCGCTGTGATTGGCCTTTTACCACATCACGTGATCAGCTGTGTCCGTAGGACACAGTGATCATGGAGATCACCGGGTGCACGCAGGAGAGTGTGTTCTGGGAGGACGTCATATGACGCCCTCCCAGAACTGGCCGGCCGCACTGTATCCGTCATTCAGCTATCTGCGGTTGGCAAGTAGTTAAAGTACATTGGGGTATGAACTCATCCTCTGCAAGAGTTAACATGGTAGAAAAGCAAGTATTGCCAAGAGTAATGGAACTCTAGGAACCAGAGTCAGCAGACCTGTCATGAAGTGTGGTACCTGTACAAGGTGAGGTGTCCTCCGGTAGCAAGGGGGTTGCTTTCTGGGGCTCCCTCCCCAGCGGTCCATCTCCTATAGCAATAAGAGCAGATCAGCTCCATGAAGGCCCTTAGCTTAGTCACCAGGTATGGGAGAGCAAGAGCAACAGAAGTGCATGCATGAGGCCCACGCCATGTGCATGGAGGGACCCTATTCTGTCTCTGGGAGTGAGGTACATAGGACATAGGCTTAGCGTGTCCTTACTAAATGCAACAGTTACAGTCAAGGTGTGAATTGACACGGTCCGGTTTATTCCTCAATGTACACTGTGTAAGGCCCAGCTGGAGGACCACCTTAAGGTTTACTTTCCCTGAAAGCGGTCCCTGCCTTGTTCTAGGGCATTGATAAGTATGAGACAGCAAAGATACCCCATGTGCAGGGTGAGTGACCCCACCCACAGTGCCCAGCTTAGTCCAGAAGAACACAATAACCCCCCTCCCGTGTACACATATTAAACACTAAAAATTCAGTGACTTAAAGGACTAAACTGTTATCTGTGTTATGCAGAGTCCACTAGAATGTGCAAATAATTGAAAAACAAATGTAGGAATTAAAACCCCAAACAACAGAGAATTACTGCACTTTATTGTTTTCACAGCTGTGAGAAATGTTAGGTGGAAGTGTGTCATTGTTGAAAGTAAAACAAGAAAGTATATCTGTCTTCAGGACAAAAAATAGCATTGATAAGTGATTTAATGTTGTTTTTATAGTATGTTTAAAAAGTGTACATTTATGGACATGTACAGTACTTGATTAAAGAGAGCATCAGACTTTATGTCATAGAAAAAAGTGTGAAGCTACAAGGATACAATTATAGCTCACATCCTAAAGGTCATTTTATAAAAACATTAAAAACTCATGAAACCATTATAAAATATAAAGGTGTCCACAATGTTTTCTTCCTAAAATATTTATAGAATGCTGTTGTGACAACTTACAGGACTTTGAAGCAACTGATTATGCTTTTCATAATTGCCTTTTACCATTGACATTTGGAAGAGCTCATTTTTTTATTTATTTTTGCATTTAAGCAAAATGCTTATGGTAATTTTTTGACAGGATGTATAGACTTTAATGTGCAACTCCAGACTAACCAACATGGTTAACATACCACATTAGAGTAAAACAGACATATCTGCCAGCGTTTTAGGGCCAACCCTGGGCTTATACATAGAAGAATGTAAAAATGTTAATTTCCTCTTACAGTATACAGCCACTCATTAAGTTCAAATACAGTATACTGTATGTGAAAACAAGTAGCAGATTACCACATAAGAGGGAATGTGCCAAACAGCTATCAAAATAAAAAAGAGCAATAAAAAAAAACAATGCAATGTGAAAAGAGTGATATGTGTAACTTAAAGTGATAATTAAGGATAATACATAAAACAGACATTGAATGTGCAGGATCCACCTGTAAATGCAACAGCATACAGATCTGTAATTTGAAAATTCAAAATGCTTTTTAGCAGAGATGAATAAGTATCTACCCTGGCGAGATTGATGAAGACTCTCAATATCACTGAGAGTCTAAATCAATATCAATCCAAGGAGAAAAATGTTGTTTCTCCTCAGTGGATGTTTTCAAACATTTGTGTGCTGAGTATAGGTGGAGCTATAATATTGTTCTGCTTTCAAGATTCTCAAGGGTCTACTTGGACACCAACATATTGAACCTTACATGTAGTATATGAGATGACACAAAAAAAAAAATTCTTAATCATACACCACAGGGTACTTCATATTCATTACTACTTAAGTTATGCTGCCACCTTCAAGTGAGTGACCAAAAAAGGCAGGAATTCCCTGCTCAGGCTTAAAGCGGAACTTCACTCTCTCAATCAACATGGACTATTTTTAATCCTTATGCTGCTAGCATTAGTAAATAGATAGGAAAGTATATCATATTTACTTGTTTTACACTTCTTTTTTTTACATTTCTTCAGTTACTTCCTGGTTTCCTGCCTAGGCAAATGATGTCATACATCCCAGCAGTTTTCAGGTGGGGAGGGAGAGTTCTCTGCTCAGCCAATGCCTGAGCTAAGGGCAGATGTATTACAGGAAGTAAATGCTGCATGAATAATTTGCCCTTACGCAAGATGGTCACTGCCAGAAATACCAGGGGGTGTTTTTCAAAATGATTTTTCAGCAAAATAAAGCATGGAGACGTGGATGGCTAGGTGAGTTTGCTTCGAATATTAACAATTAATTAAATAGCAATTTTTGGTTTGTGGTGCTCAGATGTAGTGCAGTTCCACTTTAAAGTGATTGTAAAACTTCAGATTTTTTAAAATTACAATGATAAACATGTCATACTTACCTGCTCTGTGCAATGGTTTTATTATTGATGTATAATTTTGCCTAATTTTGACTTCTGAATCTGGGAGAATGGCTTCTTCACCCAAATGTGTTTGCAGAGATTTATCTGCACTGGAGGATGCCAGATGTTGATCTCTTGGTGTCCATCAACAAAAGATTGAACAGTTTTGTGTCCAGGATTCCCAGGTGTTTGAGGTGGATGTCCTGGTAACTCTTTGGGATAAGTTATCCCTGATATATACCTTCCCTTCACTGCAGTTTCTTCCTCACCTGTTGCACAGAATAAATGTGGAGGGCATTTCAGTGATTCTGATAATATTTGCTTGACCAAGAAGAATGTGGCATGTAGATATAGTAATTCTCTTGGTAAACAAGCTGTGATCACTTCCAGAATGGCCAGATTTGCTGTCACAGGGTCTGATCTTACATTCTCCTTTATAGTCACTGACTTTGATGGCTTAGCTTTTGAAGACCACATCTTGAAAAGGGGTTTTTCTGACTCTGTAATCCCCAACCTCCTCAAGTCAAGAAAGTTGACTTCCATTAAGCTGTACTATCGTAAATTGAAGGCTTATTTTGCCTGTTGTGAAGCTCAAAAGTTTCATCCCTGATGGGATGTCATGGGACGCATTTTGGCTTTTCTTCAGTCTGGTGTGGATTTGTCTCTGGCTTTAGGCACTATCAAGGGATAGATCTTAGCCTTATGTTTGAAAGACCTATAGGGGTTTATTTACTAAAGCTGGAGAGTGCAAAATCAGACTCACTTCTGCATAGAAACCAATCAGCTTCCAGGTTTCATTGCCAAAGCTTCATTGAACAAGCTGAGGTTAGAAGCTGATTGATTTCTATGCAGAAGGGAGTCTGATTTTGGACTCTCCAGCTTTAGTAAATAAACCCCATAGTGTTTCATTCCTTGGTCAAAGTCTTTGTGCAAGGTGTCACACTGATTGTTCTGCCTGTGCACCCACCTCTATTGAACCTTAATTTGATTTTGTTTGTTTTGCAGACTTTTCCTTTTGAGCATCTACGAGAGATTCCCTTGTCACTCCTTAAGCACGAGCTTGATTTTATTTGGTTGCCATTACTTTGTCTTGCAAAGTATCCAGGTTGGCTGCATTTTCCTGCAAGGAACCTTTCTTCACTGGGATAAGGTAGTGATGAGGCGTTTGTCCTTTTTTTATAACTTAAGGTGGTTTCTTTGTTTCACTTGAATCAGGACATTGTGTTTCCGATCTTTTGCCCCAATCCTAAGTATCTTAAAGAGATACTTAGGATTGGGACAAAAGATTGGAAACACTCTTTGGATATTTTTAAGTTGTGTGGATTAATCTAAGATCTATAGCTCCATTTTAACAAGTTTAGTCCCCGTTTTTTCTCCCTTATGGTCTTTGCAAGGGTCAGTCTGCTTACCGATCCACCGTTTTTAGGTGGATTTGTTAGTTTATTTCACAGGCCTATGATATCAAGGACAGAGTTCTTCCTTTTCCAGTCAAGTCCCACTCCACAGAGCTATTCAGCATCAAACTTATATCCAGGTTTGTTAGGCAGCTACCTACTCTTCACTTCAGATGTTTACTAAGTTTTACCAGGTAAACATTCATGCCTCTGTGGACGCCAGTTTTGGGTGAAAGGTCCTGCAGGTGGGTTGGTAATGGGGTTTCTCCTATTCTGTTTTGATTTTGAGTGTGTTAGCCATGTGGTTGTGTTGCCCACCTCTCTTGTTCAGATATTTGGAACATTTCAAGTAGTCTTGAAGAAGAAGCATTCTGTGTCCTTTTATGTACCTTTAAGAAATTAGGAATTTTTTTTACATATCACAGGACACAAGGATTCCTCCCATCTTTCTGTGTTCCTCGTTGCCTGCTACAAAACTGAGGCTTACCTGAGCTGGGAGGGGTTATACCTAGGTGGGGAATTCTTCCTTTTTTTTGTCCCATGGTGTACTCCAAGAAAAGGATTGTTCAGATAAACAAAAAATCCAAATATTTGTATTACAAGGACTGATGTATAGGAATTTCCAACCTGCCACTATTGAACAAACCACTTCAGTTTTTTTGATGAACTGAAAAGTATCAGCAGGCATTCACCCTTGTAAAATAAACTTAAAGACAGAAAGGAGATGGAAAACTGCATGCACATAATCAGCTC